GAGCTCCTCAGGGATATCATTTCTGTCAGGAAAGAATAGGATGGGCCAAAGCCAATGCTCTGGGGGTTTTTTGTGTTTCTTCTCTGGAAAGGAATGAAGAAGGGAAGGAAGGAGAGAGGAAAGGAAGAAGGAAGTGGAAGAGTACAAGAGAGAGGATGTGGGGAGGAAGAGGGAGAGGGAAGGAGTGAGTTTAGAAACGTCAAGGAGGTAAGTGTGGACAATTAGCATGCTATGGGGGTACCTAGGACAAAAGTGGCCTAAAAAACAATTCTTTCCACCCCTGTCATTTTCCATATGAGAAAGCTAGGCCCAGAGAATTCAGTAACTTACCCATTTCAAACACTTACATGATGATAGAAGCAAGATTACAAGCCAAACTTCCCCAGTTCCAGACCTGGCCCACTTTCAATTCAACTCTGTGCACTCCGCCTTTAGGTGCAGGGAGGTATGTGTGACCTACCCAGCCTATTACAAAGGCCTTGACATTTAAAGGATTAAACATTTGGATGATGCCTTGGGAGTATTCCTTCAAAGACGGTTCTCTCAAAAGAGGTGGATCAAAGAAGACTGGTGGAAAGAGGGGTCCGTATCCGTTAGGGTGCTTTCAACTGCCAGCAACAGAGAATCTGACTCAAAGTGGCTTAAGCAATAAAGGGCATTTTGTTGAAAGCGCCACGGTATGGTGACCTTCAGAGGAGGCTTGTTCCTGGCAGCTAAATTAAATCACCAAAGATCCAAGTTTCTCTCCAACTCCTTGTTCTGCTTTTGGCAGCACCATCTTCCTCCTACAGCTCACTCTCTCTGTGGCCCTAATGCAGGAACTCTCAGGCCTGGTCCCTTCCTTTCCCTTCCCTGCCTTCGGACCTCAATTCCCTGATCTGTCAGTTGATGGGGCTGGTCACTGAATGAGCTCAAACTGCCCTTGCACCCCTAACGAATTTTCTTAAAAGGTGGTCCATGGGCCATTTGTATTAGAACCGTTGCTTACCCTGTTTGTTTAACCAACCATACAGTTCCTACACTCTAGCCCAACACCGTTAAACCATAATCTCTAAGGAACACAGGGATCTGCAGTGTCAACAAGCTTGCCCACAATATCCTTGTGCCCATTGAAGTTTGATAAACATTTGTTCCCAAGAGAGCCTAGAACAGGGAGTAAACTATGGCTGCTGAGCCAAATTCTGCCTGAGAGTTAAGAACGGTTTTTACACTTTTAAAGGGTTGCCTTTAAAACAAACAAACAAACAAAAAAGGAAAAAAAAAAACAAACTCACACAAAGAAGAATATGAAACAGACCTTCCATGGCTCCCAAAGTCTGACATATTTACTACCTGGCTCATGACAGAAAAACTTTGCCAACCCCTGGCCTAGAATAATGAGGTCATTGGACGGTGGAGAGAAAGGCAAGGGGTGTATCTGGACAGTTTATAGGGCTGATGAGGCCAAGAATTCCTGGGAGCAGGAGTTTGCAATGTTCCATCAGCTCCATGGAGAATCAAGTAAGTCAAAAATAAAATGTGCTCGAGTTCTGGAATTCAGTTTAAGAAATATCTTTTCCAGGAGACCTCCTGGAGTCTTTAGTTGGGCCACCCAATGCCGAATATTGACCTAAGGGCCAGGGCGGGGGGTACAGTAAAAGCTCAGGAAGGGATAATGTCAGTGTGCAACCTCCTTGCTCTGACAGCCACCAGTCAGCGGTCTCCCATAACATGGGAAACATTTTGGGGTTAGCTTCTGTGACTCATTTCTATGCCTTACTTCCAGTCACAGAGCAAACACGTATCAGCTAAGGATATGGTGCTCAAAGAGCCACCCCAGGTCAGGTAGGTAATTTCCCGGGGACTTGACCAGGAAAATATCCCAGTGCTTCTCGGACAATGGGTAAGCAATGCTCTATGTTAGGAGCAATAGCGGACAAACTCATGGCTTTGGGAGTCAGGCAGACTTAGGATCTAGTCCTGCCCCTGAACTTACTTGCTTTATGATTTTAGACCTGCACTGTCTGAGATGGTAGCCAGTGGCCCCATCTGGCTACTTATATTTAAATTCATTAAAATTAAATAAAACATAAAATTCAGTTTCTTGGTGACAGTAGTCACACTAGTAGTCGCTAGTCAACTCACTAACTACGTGTGGCTTGTGGCTATTGTATCAGACTGAGCAGATGTAGAACTTTACCACCATCACAGAAAGTTCATGGGGCAATGCTGCTGTAGGCAATCTCTTCTGGGGGGCAGGGGAGTTTATTTAAATTCCAGCTAGTTAACATAGAGTGTAATATTAGTTTCAGGTATACAATTTAGTGATTTAACACTTACGTAGAATACCAGGTGCTCAGCACAAGTGCACTCCTTAATCCCCATCATTATTTCACCCATCCCCCCACCCAAGTCCCCTCTGGTAACCATCAGTTTGTTCTCTATAGGAGTCTGTTCCTGGGTTTGCCTCTTCCTTTTTCTCCCCCCTATGATCATTTGTTTTGTTTCTTAAATTCCACATGTAGGCAATCTTTTTTTTTTTAAGATTTTATTTATTTATTTGACAGAGAGAGAGACAGCGAGAGAGGGACACAAGCAGGGGGAGTGGGAGAGGGAGAAGCAGGCTTCCCGCGGAGCAGGGAGCCCGATGCGGGACTCGATCCCAGGACCCTGGGATCGTGACCTGAGCCGAAGGCAGACGCTTAACGACTGGGCCACCCAGGCACCCCATGTAGGCAATCTTTTGACAATCATTTTTGAATCTATCCTCTGGTTTTCTTTCCACCACTCAATGGCCTCATTATTCTAGGTTCTATTGCTTTGGGCGAGAAATGGTTATCAAACTCCAAACCAAGTTTCCACATGCTCATTTACAAAACAGACATAATAATATATCTACCTGTCAGGGTTGTTGTGAGGATTACAGGAGACAGAACAGATAGAGTGACTAGCACAATACCTGCCACAGAAAAAGTGCTCATCGAAGGGCTCTTGCTGGTATTGTGTGCAAAATCTCACGCTCGCTTACTACTAATACTCTGCCATCTTCCTCTAGACCAGTGGTTCTCAAACTCCAGCATGCATAAGACTCACAGTCTGCGGGGAGGGTCCTATCCCCAGAGTTCTTGATTCAGGAGGTTTGGGAGCCTGGTAATGTGCATTCTAACAAGTTCCTAAGTCTTGTTGATACTGCAGCTCTGGGAACCACATGCAGAGAACTGCTGCTCTAGACAGTTCTTCTTCAGCCATTGCTGCCTCTTTCTGTTAGGGAGCTGTTATTTCTTTGTGATATTGTCCTTTCCTGAACATACCTTGCTAAGTTATGCACCTGCCTGCAACCAGGCTATTTATTCCCTCTATCTCTGAGAAAACTTTATCTGCATTTTCCAGCCCCAATCCAGACTCTGATAAGCCTGGTCAACGGCTTCCCCCGCAGATCTCCACCCACCCCCAGAGTTTGTCACTCATCCCTCTGTGCTGCCTCTTACATTTTGCTTATTGTTTGTTTGCTGTGACATAACAGTTATCTCCTTGTCCGTGTCTCCTAAAGTGTAAGGAGATGTTCCACTGCTGGTCCCTGAGACAAACTGTTGTGGTACATCAATAGTTTCAGATGGTACACAGAGAAACAAACAACACTGAACCACAAAACAAGACAGTTCTTTCCAAACTCCCATTACATCCGGGAGAAAGACTCGGTCTGGGGCTGATGTGTCTTCACCCCCTTGCTCATAATGCTCCAGCTCAGAGCCCGAGTCAGACAACCCCATCGCCATACCGTCATCATCATCATCGTCATCATCACGCAATGGGGGCTTAAATCCACGTAGTGCTTTCTGGGTGCCTGCCAGTGTTGCAAGCTTTACATAAATTAATGGAGTGAACCCTCGAATCCCTATGAAGTAGAATAGAATCATGGTTTTCAGCTTAGAGACGAAGAAACTGAGGCACAGAGAAGTGATGTGGCTTCACCACAGTCGTATAGCTGGGAAGGAGGAGAACCAAGATTCCAACCGAAGCAGAGCACCCAGTGGAGTCTCTTAACCACAATAATCCTGGGGCAGAGTTTCACAAAGCTGTTGTTTTCTTACCCTGTCTTCTATCTTGGGCAAGTATGTTCATTTTCCATTTGGCTGGCGAAAAAAGCCTCTTTTTTACCTGAAGTAAAGTAGCTTACTAGGTGTGTGCTAGCGGTAAAGCTGGGTCTCGGAGGGAGCAGCTGGGACATGGCAGGCACCTGACTGATGTTTGGGGTAACAAGTCTAAGCAGATGGTGAGCTTCTTGGGGGCAGGATCCTGTTAGTGTCAGGCAGGGTCCAGCCAGAGGACAGAGGGCACGTGCGAAGACTTCACTGGGAAGAGCGTCACGAAGGAGGGCTCTGGGACGCGGCGGGCACAGCAAGAGGACGGCAGAGGGTAACGAGGTACCAGGGACCAGCCATGGAGGGAGGCTGTCACCCCCCTGGAAAGGACAAGAGCAGAAAATGGCCTTGCCAGATTATGTGAGAGCCGTCTCCGACTGCAAGAGTGGAAGAAGAGTCACCAGACGGAAACTGTGGCCAAAGGAGAACCGGCTAGGAGTAGGGAGGGGCGACCTAGTTCTCCTCCAGCCGTCTACTCTCCGTCCTGCGTCCTGAGAGTCCCTGCCATAGAGGAATCCAATGGGAGCCCCGAGGGCAAGAGACCAGGGATGCTGGCAATAAAGGTGGCCTCCCAGGCACAGAGCAAGGCCGAGGAAAGAAGGGCTGAGTATGAGGCAGCCCAGAGAGTAATCTGCACAGCCGTCGGCACAGCGCGGCACACGGAGCACCATACACAGCTCGTGTGTCTAGGATACGCACAAGACACATCTGTTGCTTTAAACGGAACTGAACTGAATGGAGAAATTGGTTTCAAGTAAAAAAAAAAAAAAAAAAAAAAAATGCTCTGTGCTAAAAGCAACTGGACCCTGGACCTCGAGGTTTCTACTTCCAGCTTATTTGGACGCATGAATCATGAGATGCCACTGACCTCTTGGGGCTTGAGTCACACACATGAGGAACTGGGTGACTGGTGCACAGAGTGTTTCCAGGTGTAATTACATCCTCCACCTCATCAGGGTGTCTAGACGAGATTGTGAGACCCAGGGGAAGAAAAGACTACAGCTTTCTGTGGCCCTCGAACAAGTGGGAATTGCTGGCAGAGGCCTTTTCCCAGAGTACACAGGAGCAAATCCCCGACGAGCCAGCAGCCTTGGCCTGAAGGGTGAATATAAAAAGGGAAAAGAGGTACTGATGCACAAGTCTCAATAGGAAAGAGAGTCCTGGGGGTGCCTGGAGGGCTCAGGGGGTTAAGCATCTGACCTCTGCTCAGGTCATGATCTCGGGGTCCTGGGATTGAGTCCCACCCCGGGCTCCCTGCTCATCAAGGAGTCTGCTTGTCCCTCTCCCTCTCTCTCTCTGCCCCTCCCCCTGCTGATGCTCTTGGATAGAGCAAAATGTTGCTTAGTAAGGCAAAAAAAAAACACGGGTTTAGCTTAAGTGATTGAACATGTATTATGTACCTGCCACTGTCTGGTACTTAGACCAGGGCTGTGTATCACAGCAGCTGTCAAAGTGAGGTTCGTGGAACTCTGGATCCCAGAGCTTGACAGGGGACCCACAAGGTCAAAACAATATTCAGAATAACACCAAGACATTATTTTTTTTCTTCCAGTGTATTTACACATTGGTGAAAAGAAATGGTGCAAAAAGCTGCCACCAAACTGCTAGTGGTCATTGAATTCTCCAATGTCACCCACTCACAGTAGAAAAAAATGCCATTTCACTTAAGCATGTCTTTGATGAAGCAGAATAATTATTAATTTTATTAAATCTCAACCCTTGAGCACATGTCTTTTTAAGACTCCGCATGAGGGGTACCTGGGTGGCTCAGTAAGTTAAGCGACTGACTCTTGATTTTGGCTCAGGTTGTGATCTCCCAGTCATGATCTCACGGTTGTGAGATCAAGCCCCACATCGGGATCCACGCTGGGCCTGGAGCCTGCTTGAGATTCCCTCTCCCCCTCTCCCTCTGCCCCTCCCCCCACTTGAGTGCACACTCTCTCACTCAAAAAAAAGGACCCTACATGGGGAAATGGGAAGATCGAATAATGTATTTCTACACATGTCCAAGTAGCATGGTTGTCTCAAGGAAAGGCACCTGCTTAGTTGTTGGAGTTGCAATCCAAACTAAACTTTTTTCACAGATTACCATTTGTACATGAAGGAATAAATGGAAAATTATGCGCATTCAGACTTGAGTAATGGGCAAACATGTTCTCAAAAATTAAGTAAATGAACCTGTTATGTAAAGGAAAACAACTGACAGTATTTGTTACCAATGGTTACATTCGAGCTTTGATGTGGAAATTAGGATTTTGGGAAATATACATGCCATCATTAACTTGCCAGCTTCCCAATACCTGAAGATATTTCTGATGAGATCTGTGGTGGCATTAATGAAAGTGATATTTTGATGTCATATAGAGAAATGTGTCAACACCTGGATGATCTGCATAATTCAGTGAATCAATATTTTCCAAATGCCCAGTACATCATGTTGCAAAAGTACGCACAGGCAAAACACTGATTTAAGTGCAAAATAGCCAATGGATTTTAAGGTAACATAGTATGAAAATTTCATTGATATGGTTTCAGATTCCACATTACAACCAACTTGGAAGAAAATGGCAGTCAAGTTTTGATTTTGTATCAAAAAAGTCTATTAAAGTACCTTTCTCTTTTACAACTACCTATCTGCAAGAGGCTAAATTTTTTTTTATAGTGCAAGCAAAACAACATATGACAACACATTGAATGCAGAAGAGGTTATGAGAATCTGTCTTCTATTAGGTCTCACATTAAGGAGATTTGCAAAAATGTCACTTTCCCCACTGAAATTTTTTTGGAAAATATAATTATCACCAAAAAATGTTAATTATGTAACTTTTAATCAGTTAATTATTGTTATTTCAAAATAAATTGGTAGATAAGCGATTTTTCAATTTCTCAGTTGTAATTTCTAATACAATAAATATTAGTAGATACAACCCACACTTAATAAAAAGGTTCTTTGGGGCCCTCGATAATTTTTAAGAGTGTAAAACGGTCCTGAAGCCAAAGTGTTTGAGAATTACTATTGTATAAGAATCTTACCAGTGCAATGAGATCCCAGAGGTAAGAGCTTCTAGGAGCCTAGAAAAATGTATGAGACCCAGGTAGAAAAACAGTTGTTGGCTCCAACTCTACAAGAGAAAACAATAAATGTAAAAATTAATTAATACTTAATTAAATGTCTACAAAATGTACCAACATGTCAGCTTCATTCACTGTTAAATTAAGCATTCATAAGGATTTTATTCCATCAAACACAACTTATAGGTTCAGTTTTCTCACTTCACAAATTCCCCTATTCATAATGGACACAGTAATTGTTGGGAACTCATAGCTAGTCATAAATTAAATAAGTAACATGGCGTCAAATAATTTCTAAAGCACAAATATAAAAATCCTACAAAGATTCTTAAAACAAAAAAGCATATTTAATGTGGGATATGAGTGCAGCTGGTATATTTGATATTTTGTGTGGTGGGGACTCCAAAGTCAGAACATGCAGGGCTCATGAAGGTCCTACAGCATCGTGTTGCCTGTAAATCATAGCCCTCCCGAAACATTTCAGTGATCGGCGGTATCTTCACCGGGGAAAGGAGACATCTTCACCAGGTGAAATGCCTCCCCCGACCTTTGGCAGGAATGGGAGAGAGACACATAATGAAAGTACAATCAACTGGTCAGCAGAGGAGCAAAATCACAGGGAAGAGATCATGTGCTCTGTTGTTTGGGTCTGAGCAATGGCACAGCTGGCCAGGCCTCTGAATTCGGGGCAGGGGTTAACACTGCCTTCACACCCAGACTTTCATCTGGTGTGAGCAAGGCAGGGCTGATGGTTTAGAAGAGCCCTAGGACATCTCACCAGAAAAGGACGAAGTCTGAAAGCAAAGGCTGGGGGCAGTTTATCAAGGTTAGCCAGCTTGAGGCAAGAAGTCACCCAATAATGGTCACCACTTCTGTTCCATGAGACACTTGCCCCCTCACTGGCACCTCAGAATTACATGCCCTTGTCAAGGAGCAGTGTCCAGGGGCACCTTGGTGGCTCAGTCAGTTAAGCATCCAACTCTTGATCTCAGTTCAGTTCTTGATCTCAGGGTCATGAGTTCAAGCCCCTTCTACTTTAAAAAAAAAAAAAAAAAAAAAAGGAGCTGTGCCCAGTACTGCAGAGATGTCTCTCGACTTAAAAAGTGTCTTCCCTACCTTTCTGTCATGCTCAGCTCCATTGACTGGAGCAAGGCAGTGTTGGCCCTTCATCCAACTTTGAGATATCATGACTCTGAGACAATATGGCTATCTCTTATCAGGGATCTCCAGTGATGGGATTTCCTGCAGTACTGCAAGTAACTTATTTTCTTCATTTGATTTTTTATAGTGTCTGCTATAATGCATTTACTTTAATTTTTTTTTAATTTTAAAGGATATGGGTAAAGTAACTGGCATATAATAGGTCTTTGATAAAGAGTAATCACTATTATTTGGAAATTAATCAGAGAGTGCCCTAACATCTCCTGCACTAAAATCAGGAGCTCTCCACTGTTAAGAGAGGACAGATTGACTTCCATTTTCTGGAGCTGCCTAGTTTAATAAAAAAGTAAAATAAAAATAGAAAAATGGAAAAACAGGATTATAGAACATATGATACATTTTAAATGTTTCACTTAACAAATCAATGTTTTAAACATACATACATATGCAAAACTACAATACAATAAAATCATGCAATTGACGATATATATCAAGATTTATGAAAAACAAATAATGCATGGAGCACACATTGTGTAGGCAATGTGGCCTGGGAAGGAGACCAAGCTGTCAAGCTCTCCATGTACAAAGTCTTCTTTCAATCATGTCAGTGAAGCTCTGCAACTCAATGGTATCATTTAGAGATAAAAACAAGTCTAAAATTGAGTTTCATTGCCAATTTGCCTTCCTTGGGCACCTCTTCCCTTCACCAACACCACTAGATTCTGATTGCCATCAGCCTTTTTCCTTGTATTGATATCAGCATTTCTCAATGTAAATGTCTGAACTTCCCAACCACAGGGAAAGGATCATATACTCTGCTGTGACTTTTCATGCTTAAAACAAACATGGAACCTACTAATCGAATTACTGATACTTTTTAAATATCAAGTTTTTTTAAGTGCTAACAGAAATATCCACTATAAATGCATATTTCTTATCTTCCAACTTGCACACACCCTGGAGATCTGCATCAACTCTCCTAGCCTACTCTATCATATTAAAAGATGAAACCTCAAATCAATTTTTTTTTTTTTTGCTTTCTGTCCAACCCTTTTGAGCAAGGATACCACCCTTCCTCTGCTTCCCCTCCGTGGAAGGCTAGCAAGGATCTCTTGGCAGCTGTTCCTTTCATTTCTCCAGGGTCAGACACCTCCTTGCATTGTTATTTCAGTTGATCCAGTTGTGACTAAGCCATCAAATGCACTTTCTCTGAACATTCAACTGCTGATCACTGAAAATCAAGAGGTTTGGATGATGGTCTCTGGCGTGAATCTTCTCCCATCTGGTTCTAGTTCAGGGCTGGCCTTTGACGGCCCTCTGTCTCACACCATGACTCTAAGTGGGTGTGGAGACTAGTTGGCTCTCTTGCAGGTTGAGTGGATCCAAGGAGAGCTGTTTGTTTTTCTAAGCAAGAACAAGGAGGGATTTTTTGCATCATGTAGATGTAAGCTTATCACCAATTTCTTCATAACAGGTGTGTCTTATTTGACATAAAAGAAGATCTGTTATCAAACACAAAGGACTTTTTCATTATGACTTTAAGGGAACGGTACTTTTAAAGATAGAAGCAAGTGGTGTCTTCATATATCCGTTGAGGAGGATATTACCAAAAGATCCATCCCATCCTTGCCACTTCCTCATTCCACTCCCTTTAATTGAAGCCATTATTTCTTGTCTAGTAAACAACAGCTCCGTGGTTGGTCTCCCTGCCTCCTCTCTTGCCCTTTGCCATCTTTCTTCTCTTTGCTGTAAGCACAAATTTTTTCAAACGCAAATATGAGCCTAACCACCCTCTTTGTTCAAATAATTGCAATAGCTCCCCCCTGCTTATAGGAGAAAACATACATTCCTTAGCAAGCACACAAAGCTATCTATAACAGAGAAAGATAAAACAATAGAAACTGGTGAAAAGTGGTTGGGTTTTTTTAATATATTTTTTTCTCTCCAAAGAAGTTGAGCCACACCAGGCATAAGCATTATGTAATGTTGGTCCATGGTGACAAGTTTAAAATTCTGACTCTAGGTTGTCACTCATGCCACTCCCAGTGCCTGGAAGGACCTCAGTGCTGCTTGCCACTCTTGCCTCCTCACCTAGCTCAGTATATATCTCATAGAGCTCAGGTCCAATACAGTCTCCTCCAAGAATCTTTTCCTGGTAGTGAGTCGGGGTTAAATATCCGTCCTCTGGGCTCTTGGTCACCTCTGGTCCCTCGGTGACAGCAGTAACCACACTATTACCTGCCTGACACCGCTGCTTCCCAGACTCCTCCATTAGACCAAGACTTCCTTGAGGAAAGTGAATGTCTTATACCTCCTTGAGTAAGTACACAAAATAAATGCATATTATAGACATGTGTTTTATCTACCTAGGACCTCCTCTTCCCTGTTCTTGGAAATAGCAGCTACTACCCCCCTTTTTAAGGAACTGCCCCTTCTCTACTCCTTATGGTTCAGGCAAGGCTGTTAAACCAGAGGACTCCACCACTGTCCTAGGGAGGGCTCATGACCCAAAATGGACCCATCAAATTCTTTTACCCAGGAATGGACAGGGCTCAAAAAGAATAAAAGGCATACTCTGGTTTCTCTTCAGAATGTATAAAAAGAAAAAAAGGCAACTGGAACTATGTCATCTGCTGGCAGCTCTGTGTAGGAGCCACAGGTGACCCAGTTCCTGGATGCTATTCTTCTCAAGGCTTTTGTACTAGTGAGCTTTTGCTGTATAACAAATAATTGCCAAAATTAACAGCATAAAATAATATCCATTTATTTATCTCAAAATTCTGGAGGTCAACAATTTGCACTCAGCTAAGCTGGGCCTTTCTCCTGGTCTTGGAAGGATTCATACATCATCTGAAATTAGCCATTGGTGAACTGGAAGCTGGCTGGTCTAGGGTAACCTCAGGTGGAATTATCTCTGTCCTACATGGTGTCTCATCTTCCATTGAATTTATTCACAAGCAGCTGCGCAGAATTCCAGGAGAGGGAGTGGAAGCATCCAGGACTTGCTGAGGTCTAGGCTCAGACATGGCACACCATCACTTTCCCTGCATTCCAACAGCCAAAGCAAGCCACAGGACCAAATTCAAGAGGGTGGGAGTTAAGACCTACTCCTTGGTAGAAGGAGCTGCAAAGTCACATTGCAAAGGGTGTGGATACAGAGAGGGGTATAAAATCATGGTTATATCTGCAAACTACCACAACTTTGTTATTCAGTTCCCTGTTAATCTTCCAATATATCCCTTTTTATTTTTTTTAAGATTTATTTATTTGAGAGAGAGAGAGAGCACAAGCAGGGGGAGCAGCAGAGGGAAAGGGAGAAGCAGGCTCTCCACTGAGGGAGCCCAATGTGGGGCTTGATCCCAAGACCCTGGGATCATGACCTGAGCCAAAGGCAGACGCTTAACTGACTGAGCCACTCAGGTACCCCTATCCCTTTTTAAATAAAGTTAGTCAAAGTTGGCTTCTGTTGTTTGTGCTTAAAAAAAAAAATGTAACTTATACCTGCTTGGAAATGAATGAAAGGATGTGTTATAGTGGGTCAAACTTTCATCCAGGGGAGAGTGATGAAGGGGGTGTAGGAAAGTGACAGACCATCACAGAGCTAAAGGAGTTGCAGAGTATACAATACACTGGTTGCCTATGAGCACCCCAGAAATTAGGACACCACTTTCCTTTCCACCTTCCTAACTCACCCTGTAGCCACAGCCACCACTATCTTGAAATCTCTTTTTAAGAGTTAGACATGGAACAATAAGCCATTCACTGGGGACTGCTCTCTTGTCACTACCTAAATTGAATTGGCTGAGTGTTTGTTAGGTGACTATCTGCAGGTGTGTATTGATACAGCCACATGTTATACTTTGGATTGGCTTAAATATCAGACATAATT